ATTAGAGAGAAATAATTTTAAGAATGATGTGATAAGTAACTTAAAAGTAAACTTAAATAAGTAAAACCAAACATGTTTGAAATCCTTGTTGAATTGGACAAAATCCAATAATTTCATCTTTTACTTGTTGAATTGGACAAAATCCAATAATTGTTGAATATGTGATCGTTAATTTCAGCTTTTACTTGTTGAATTGGACAAAATCCAATCATTTGTGTCAATCACTGTTGGAATGAAGACTGTCCCCAAAGATCTAAACTAATTATACTACCACGCCAAATTTGCATTTCACGACCACTGGTGAATTATATAATATAAATTAATAATTATTGAATTAAAAATCGTTCTATAATTGAATCGTCTATATTAAATTAATAACGAACTATTCTGACCAAAAGGAACAGTTTATTCAAGATGGTAATCGAAAAACATAAAATTATATTAGTTATCAATTTTAATGTTTAATCTGTTAGAATGAAAATATGTATTCAATTAATGGATTCATAATCTTTATAAATTGATGTTATGAGACTTGAACTTATGTGTTTTGTCTGATGTTAATACTATGTTAATTTACTATGTCATTTTAGAAAATTAAATTAAAGTATGTATATTGATTTAATTATTATTTTTAACTTTACTAATGAATAATATTGTCATAAAAGTCTATGTTATTATATATTAAGGTCCATATTGGCCGGTTGAAGTTATTGAACCTACCACTTTCCCAATTGTCAATTAAGAATAAATACAGAAAACAATATAAAGGTTTGTGTGTGTACATAAATAATATGTATTAAATATTCAAATTTTATTTTTGTCTAAACACAACGCATATTTTTCAATTGTGTATTTTTTTATATGGAATTGAATGATATTAAGAGTCTGTTTGAGCCACATTATAATGAGAATGAGAATGAGAAATAGAGCCGTTATGGGCCCCACACCAGAAATAGAAATTCAAAAATGGTGGCTTGATGTGATGGATAACGATCATATTTTTCATTTTAATGAGGTAAAAATGTGGCTCAAACGGGGGCTAAATATAAAAAAGAAGTTCAAATCTTATTCAATCATGTACTTATGAAAAATGTACTTAATTTCATACATAAATTATGCCAACAGTGAAATATATATTGAGGTGACTTTCATTTTATTCCTTCCTACCGGCAATTTTATTGTTCTTCAATTGAAAAATGATATGTTTATGATTCATACACGGATTGGTGGAGAAAGTAAAATGTTTATAATTTATAAAAAATAAAATACTTAATGATTTGTACTTCAACAGTTCAACCCCACGATAATAATTACTTTAATAGTAATTACACATGCATTACGTGTTACATAATTCTATTAGAATTTATTAAAAACTATTAAACCAGTAAGGATCGGAAAATCAATATTTTTATGTATATAAAGGTACAAACTAATAATTGAAGATGTCAAGGGTTTCCTTCCTTTTCAAATTAGTGCACTGTAATGTTTTAAAAAGCTGATTTTTTAAAATTTATTTAATATAAATACTTAATATTTTAATCCATATAAAGAATAAAGATAGTGTAGAAAAACAGATGATATTGAGACAAAATAATTTCACCCACTTCCATTCATGTAGTTCATGTATATTTATACAATGTAACAATTTATTCGAACTAGACTTCTATAATTAGGTTTTACAATATAAGAATATAAAGTGATGATGCTAATCTAAGTGAACAATTTAAATTAGATGATGATATGATCGCTCACTAGTTTCTCGAGATGAGATTTGGCTACTACTATTGATAGGACTTGGATGTTGATCGTGTAGTTTAGAGTTTTCAGCTTGTTTGTATTCTTGTGCCTTATCCTTAACACACCCATGCAAGACAGAGTCATGTTAGAGACTCTGATCTTGAACCATAATTGAGTGAATGGTGCGAAAGACAATTGTTTAGTTGATGCATCAGACTTCATCATTTTCTTTATTTCACTTGTTTGATGAAACGACAAGAAGGTGAGCACGAAACCTATCTAAAGTGGAGCTTAGTTTAAGCGATCGAACAAATGATAGGGGCTTATATTCGGCCTCAGTGGAAGATCAAGCTACATATTTGTGCTTTGGAGAGCACCAAGAAATTAGATTATATCATGTTAGTTCGTAATAGGAGGCGGCGGATGTATTTATTTTGAGTAAGGAGCCTAGTGACTCAACTCTTAGGAAGTAATGTAATGGCTCCTAGTCCTCGATACGAAATCGTAGGGATACAGAATGGATGAATGAGGACACATCAGAATGGTTGTTTCCCATGACCAAAAGGTCATCAAAATATACTACGAAATAGATTATGATGCAAGAAGATAAGCAAAAGAAGAGGGAAGAATCGTGGATGGATTTTTGAAACCCATAGGAGGGAACAATACCTTTGAATTCGTTATCCCAGACTCTAAGTGCCTGTTTGAGACCATAAATGCCTTTCTTGAGACGACAGACATGGATGGGATGATTAAGGTCTTTGAAGTTGGGTGGTTGGTCTGTATAGACCTCCTCGTTTAGTGTGTTACAGAGGAATGCATTCGGGGTCGGCCCTAAAAATTATGAGACCCTATTTTAGAGCCTTATTTCGAATTTCAAATTCAAAGTTACAATTCAAAATATTCTAAATTCTCACAAATAAAATTTGTCTATGAAGAAGCTGGAATATCATATTATCCATCATATTTTACCTTTTCAGTGTGTGTGTATATAAAAAGTAAATCCATGCTGCTGATATTGAAATTTCTTAGTCATTTATATATTTCTGAAGAAATTTATATAAATATATGCAAAACACTTTTTTATTAGTTTTGTCCGCCATTAATATTTTTCTAGCCATATATATTTTTCTTCAAAATTGGATGAATTAAGAAGAAACCCTTTGTACTTTTGATTAATTTCTTTCTAGATCCCGTTTTCACCTCTATATTATGCTCATCTCATATGAAAATTTTAGATAATATAGATTATTTATGATTTAATTATTTATGATTTTGCAGAGAAATCAGTGTCTTTTCTTAACCAAAAAGGAAACGATTAATTTCAATTTTAGTTGACTTTATTTTTTATACTATTAAATTTCAAAATGAATAAAGATGCTATAGTAGTCTTATGTCACCATGGTCCAACAAAAATTATTTCATGCCTCACCACTATCAGTTTTTATTTTTATTATTAATTTTTTAAAGAACCTTAATTGATTTCATTTAATCATTATCTATTAATCTCAAATGACTTGAAGCCAGCTCATAGATGTACTGAGAATCAAGAGAAATGATTATTGAGTCTATATAACAACTAGTTACAATGAGCTTCAACATTTAAAAAGTATAATAAATGAAGCAAAAATTTCAAAAAAAATAAAAAATAAAAAATTATGCAAATAATAATGTATTGTTAAAAAAAAAAAATTATTTTTATCTTATCTTTGTCCAAAGAAGTAATCAAGAAAAAAACTCGAGTTCTGTTTATTTATGATATCTCCACATGTTTGCTCCTTGAATATTTAAGATTACGGATGGTTGTCTCCTTAAATATATCATATTTAGTTTATTAGGAAAGCAAAATCTCAATCGAATAGGAATGAACGAATATGACTTTTGTTGTTATCGCTAAATTTAGACAAGTACATTGGACTAGAATTTTTATTCAAATTAAAAAGCATTTTATTTTGTTAATAAAAATGAGAGAACAAAATGAAACTTCGATTGTTACGGATGAAGCATTCGACATGATCGCGGAGTATAATAACAAGATTTTAATTTTAATTTTGCTTTTAGTATTGTCTTTGAAGAGGTTATTAATATTCGTAACATACAAAGATCATAACATAAAAATTAACAAAATACACCAATTATATTGAGTATCTTTACACTCTAATGTTATATTTTACAGTATAGTTAAAAAATAAATAAATAAATTGTTATCTATTCACCAGAATATAGTTGGTAATCACGTTACGTAATCATCAATATAATAATAGTTCAACACAAATTTAGTCCACTTAATTACATCAAACGTCATCTGTTTGATGACATCAACAACCTCTTGCCTTTTTAATTTCCATGTCAAGATTCTATTTAATAAATAAAAGTAAAAAAAAAATCAAGATTTTATTTTATCATGAATTAAAGTGGAAAAATATTATTTAAAAAAAAATCCAAATGACGAAAGCTGATTTATTAATACATCCTACCCTGTTTCAAGTGATTGAAGTTTAGATTGAATTTGTTGTAGGAGGAAAATTCTTGCTCCAAACTAACTTCTAAGAAAGGTCGTTTCGAATCTGGATAATTCAATTTCACAATTATTATTATTATTATTATTATTATTATTATTATTATTATTATTATTATTATTTATTTTATTTTATTTTATTTTATTTTATTTGCCTATTAAACAAAAGAGATATAAACGAAAGATTGGGAAATTCATGATTTATCCTTATTTTAAATTTATATAATAAAAAACCATTTAGTTTAAAACAAACATAAATCCCTGTCTGACTCCATTTTTACAAGACCATTATCTTACTCATTTTCTTTCTCTCTTATTTTCAATCACACAATCTTCCATAAAATAATATTACATGCAAATAAAAAACTTTTCATTCTTTTTTAACCACACATTTTGAAAAAAAAAAAAAACACTATTCCAACCATTAAAATTTGATAAAAAAAAAAAAATAGGAGCCAAACGGAGGCTAAAATCAAATTTTATACCGTTGCGAAGTACAAGTGGATCCCAGTGTCTAGCTTTTATTGAAAAGGAAATGAAAAATGACAACAACAACAGTACAATAATTGATTAAAATCCAGATGAAAATTTCTCCCAAGGAGGCGCTAATTGCTCACAATTAGTAAATTCTATCTTGGTTACCAAACTTTTGACTTTAGCGATAAAAATCTTTTAAATAAAGATGTTCACGGGACTTTAAATTTGTGTTAGTCGATTCAAAGATTTTCCATAGCACAGGACGACATTTTAAGCTCAATCCAAAGATTGAACATTACTTCATCAGTGTTACATCTTGGCTAGAACACATTTGCAGGGACAACATTAATAAGCCCAGTACCACCATTCTAATCCTGTCCCCACGCCTACGGGGCATATTTCGTGCGCAATACTGGAATCTAATTCAACTTACCAAATATGTCAAAAGAACCATCAACAATTCTTACATTGAATCCCCTACAGCAATCTAGACGTCAAATTTCGTTTGTGTTCAGCAAAATGCTCAACAAGTTTTAGAAATAAGAGAAGACTTCAATCATAATGTGACATCTTCCACAAACCAAGGCTGCGGGAAGAAACCAGGCTCTTAAATGAAAATCTGAAATCAAATAAAATTCAAAGAAATAAAACCGGTAATTTGGAGTTATATATTTGTTGGATTTGCTAAGTTGACCACAAAACTTGGGTCTTTCAGAGTCACTGACTTGAATTCTCTGGGTGCATCTATCTTCGTATGAGTTTCTAGGAAGAATCTATGAGTGGATCATGTTGAACTGGAAACGGGATAGCTGCTGCGGAATGGTGGAAATTACAGGTCCGTATCTCTGATATGGAAAACAAGGAGTATTTATAATTATGTGATTACCATATAAAGATGATCTTTACCACAAACCCTAACAGAAAGTGTGAAAACAAAAGCTATGTTCCTGTCACAATTTAAGTGGAGACAGGATGAGGAGAACAAATCAAGCAAATGATGTATAAACCAGCAGACAAGGCAAAAATCTCACACCTGAACATTGTCATAGAGTTCAAATAACGGAACAGCAAGAAGTTTCAAGTTCTTCGGAACAGCAAAGTACTCTCTCTCTGACAGGTGAACAATGAAAAGCTTCTTGCACTCCTACATTATGAATAATACGTGGTCAGCTGTCTTGACAACAAATGAGAATACAGACCAAAATGCATATATACTAATGGAAGGATGTTTGCTGATGATATTACTTTGGGTTTTGCTATATGTGGAGGGCAGTAAGGGTACATTGTGGTTTCAAAATTTGGTCTCCACCATGTTGCCACACATTCACCTATCTGCAACGAACATTGCAACAAAGAATGAGAAAGAAGAATCAAGTACATATACAAATAAATATCTTTAGCGAAGGCCAAGAAAAGAGATGTGTAAAAGATCATGATGCAGATCCTGTGTACAGCAAATAAGATAAGATCATATAATATTCAGCCTTAGTTTCTCAGTTGTGGCATATAGAGTAAAATTCATACGACGTCCATCCTTCCTTTCTTAGATGTATACATATTTACCCAAACAAAACACCAGGTAGATTATTCACTATCAATCAGAGATCACATTTAGTTATGCATATTTACGTTGCACATTCCCTTTTCACATGAATAATCTCTAAAGCACGTTGAAATGTTGAATTATACTTTTCCCATTTCAAAATTTATCCTGATTATATCTACCAAGCATTTAGGTCAGGTGATTATTCCATAAAGAATTACCTGCCAATCTGGCTCAAGACCAGGTGAATTCACAGCGAGTTTGCTGGAAAGTTTCCTTTTCAAGCCTTCAATTTCTGCAAAACGATGTAAAAATAAAATAAAATAAAATAAAAATTGAAGATAAATAAAACTAGACACAAAATAAACTCAAAAAGTCCATGGCCAGAATATGAGTTGTCGTTTTTGTTGTTCTTTTAAGAGGGAGTCAAACATTGTACCGTTCTCTCCCGGCTTCAGTCGGCCACCTGGGAGTTTACAGAAAGTATTTCCAATTTGCAGAAGAAGAATATGGGGATGATTATGCTCTTCTACCTGTGGGAGTCCACCATGTTTTTCAATTATCTATATGGCCATATTGCTTACCACATGCTAAGTTATTATCATGATGAATAGCAAAAGAAAATACAACAAGGTAGAAATTCTCCATGCACGTTAAAATGTTAAGGAAGGAACACAGTTCAGCATTAAATGGCCTAATCAGAGACCTTATAGAAAAACTATAATGCCACATGCAAGACCTCTGCTATTATTTATAGCTAAACAGACTCAAAAATCTTCTATAATATGTTTCATCTGCAACCTGTTCTACTGTCCAGTTATATATTTAGCCTGTTTGGTGTAGATTAAAATCTTCTAAAAATCTCAAGTCAAAGTTAATAATTAATTTTAACCTATCATTTCATTGGACCCACAACTTTTCAGACACAGTTCATCAACTTTTCTAAAAATCTGATTTTAATCTACACCAAACAGGGTCTTAATGTTTGCTAAGTTCTAAGCTTAATAAGTATTAAGGATCTCAAACATTTCTTTAACAAGATTTAATCACACTATGGACTTCGATGCAGAAAGAAGGCTCAAATTCCAAGTTTTTCTGAACAACATGAAAACAACTAAGCCTTGTTTGGCTACCAATAATCACATATTTTTTTAATAACTTTTTATCAACATATTTAATGGGACCCACAAATACTAACCACTTATTCATTACTTATTTCTATTTATTTATAGCTTCAACAGTTCATAAACAACTCAAAAAAGTGCTTTAATTTGATGAGTGTTAAGATAAAGTGACCAAGAAGACTTATTGTCGTTCCAATCCTTACTTCTAGAGATCTCTAAAACATAAAATGTACAATCCACACCAGTACCCCTATAGTGGATTGGAAATAGGCCCTTAGGGGAGTCCCTTCTTTATCCATAATGAGCAAAACGGAAACAACAAATAAAACCTTTTTATCAATAAATTTCGAGTTGTCTACGTGAATCCTGAATTCCACATTTCCCCCACTCATTGCTAGATCTGGTGGGAAATCTAACAACTAGATCATCAGTGACTACAATAGACTATGTTAGTTTTGATGTACCCCTCCCTGTCTCTTCCTGACTTAACCAAAATCATCTCATTCTTACGAGCGGTGCCTTGTTAGGTCAAAGCAAAACATGACCAACCAGCTAAGTCATCCTCACCTTAGTTTACCCTCAATCAGCCCCAAGTCCACTTATTGGCATATATACTCATTTCATATCTAATTCTTTTTAATTTAGTTGCACAACAATCTTACCATCCTCATTTTCGCTACATTCATCTTAGAACATCTCAACCTCAATAAGCATAGAGTGCCTAACCTCGTTTTTGTAGAACTTGCCTTTAACCTAAATAAAATCTTCATATTGCATAGAATTCTTATAGCACTTCTCCATTTTATCCAGAATGAGTAAACATAGAGACTTTGTTGTATCTTCTCAAATTTTGTGCATTGCATTACTAACTACAAGCGTGGAGAAACTCAAAAGCTAACATACCAAGATAATCCTGCTTTGACACAAAAACACATTGTACATTACATTACTTCAAATGTAACAAGCCACAGAAAACTGAACTCATCAAGCTTAAAAAGTGTTATGAAGACAGTGGGGACTCTTGTGTTTCTATCATTTTTGCATCACGGCACTTCAATATTTTCATACTTTTCAAATAGTCTATATAAAATTTACCATCATATTCAAAAAACTCCACCATTTCTAGTGTAAACTTCTCCCAGTTAGAGCATGTTCGACTAAGCTTAAAAATAAGTGAACATTTACTTTTTAAGTAACTCTTTATTTCCAAATATGCATAGATACGTTTATCATTCATACTTTTTAAAGTCTTCTTTTAAAAAAATAAAAAATAAAAAACTAAAAAACTAAACTTATTTTGGAAGTAATTCTAACCGTGCCAAAGAATCAAATTACTTATTTACTCAGAGGTAACTTTTTATGCTTAGCCAAATACGCTCTAGGCAGAAGCAATTCCATCCAGAATGAAAGAAACAGAAAATTCAAACAAGATTGTTCAATAATTGAGTACAGAAACAGTTACTTTATATTATTTTATATCTACACACACATACACATTTGAGTACGGAGGATATAGAAATCAGTACATACCAACAAAATTCCTTCGACGCTAGTCCTCATCCCCTCCTTCATGTAACTGGAATTCAAAACCCAAACGAAACACATCACAACGATGTAAAACACAAATCCAAAGAACAGGCGTGAACCCTGCACGATATCAATCAATTCGATCTATCTAGGGTTTAAGAATCATAACAAAAACGCACTTGACTTTCATGCGGGCAAGGCGATCGGCGACGGAGGTGTCTTTCTCCATTTTGGGCTCTTTGGCGCCGAAAGTGTAGCTTGGCAGTGGATACGTATTTACCACTGCTGACGACACCATTTTCGCTTATCTGTAATTCTTCAACCGGCAAAGCGGGAGAGCAGAGAGGCAGTGGAGCGGTTGACGCTTGACGCCCATTTCTTTGGTTAATATATATTTTAGGGTTTGTTTGATTGCGAAAGTAGAATTTGGGAATTTGGATAGAAAGAAAATGAATTTCAGAAAATTGAAATATCTGTAAATTATTATTTTGAAAATGGTAAATTATTGTGTTTGATTAGTATAATTTTTTACGTGGAAAATATTAAAGTAAAAGGGTTTTTTAGTGTTCATTTGACTTTGTTTTACATGAAAATTGTCAATTTAAGGAATATTCACTTCTATTATTATTCCTAGAATTTGTTCTCATTGCCATTATTTCCATTGCCAACCAAAAAAAAAAAGAAGAAAAAAACGATCAAAAAATTATTTATATTTTGGTGTTCGTTTGACTTTGTTTTACATGAAAATTATCAATTTCAAGGATATCTTTTTTTACAATTGTTCCTAAAATTTGTTCCTATTGCCAACAATTAAAAAAAAAAGAATAAAAAAGGTGGAAAACCAAAAACCACCTACGCCTTAGGAAAATAAAAGATGGAAAATCACCCTTTAAGGTGTTTTACCTAAAAATTCATGGGAAATCAATTTTCTGAAAAATTTTGTCAATCAAACAGGCCAAAAGTGGAAGTTGAAATTCGAATTCCAAGTTCCATGAAAATTTTCGTACAATCAAACGGGACCTTAGGGATTTTTCCCGGAAAATATACAGAGTTCATACTGGATTTTGAAATGAAAAAATTTTGTCAGTGTATTTTATATTTTTTTCCATCTTTGAATGATATTTCGACACGTCTTGTGAACAATTCTGTACAAAAATTCTGTACTTATAGCATAACTCATATTTTAAGCTTTTTTGTTACGAGAATTGATTTTTTCATCGTTAGAGACAAAAACATATTCCACTTGAGAGAAAAGTAAAAAATGACGGTTGAAATAGTAAAATAATGATCAAAAACTTAATTTTTTGAAATGAAAAATCAATACTAAACATGTACTTATAATGGATTGATAACAGAAATCTGAAATAGTTTCGCGTAAGATATAACTCCTCCACCTATTGAAAATCGCAAAAAAAAAAAAAAATCTGTATTTAAAATCTTGTTGGTTATTTAAAAAAAAGTACAAAAATACACAAGAGCACAAATATTTTAAAACTGCCGAAAATTGATTTTTATTGATCAATGAGACATCTATTTATACAAAAAAAATGAAAACTAAAATGTAGAAAATTTTGCTATAGATTGAACAAATCAAAATAGCATGATAAAATGATCATAATCCTAACCATCACTGACATCTTTATTGTCCAAATAATTGTTGGGAATCTACTTATCATGCGCTTCAGAAATAAAAACGAATTTCAATTTTCACCAATAATCTACTTTGTGTTTAGATAGAAACTATGATAGAAATTATACATTTTAGAGATCTGTAAACTCTTTTGCTATTCTTTCGTTCCAATAATCTTGATCTGTCGTCTATAGCAATTCAATTGTCCAACCTCCAACGGTGATCCACATAAAGAACAAGATTGTATTTCTTTTTCTTATACTAGCAAGAATGAATTTTCTACAAATTTTGAAAATTCTAGTCATATTTATATAAGTCCAAACAGGCTTGATCTGACTAATAAAATATTTAATTAACACATTTAATTAAATTCGGTTTGTGAATTAATTAATATAATTAATTCGGGCTTATAAATACGCAACACAATTAATTAATTTATACAACGTTTGTTAAATTAATTAATTGATAAAGTACAATATTCTAATTCTTTTTTTGTGTGCGACCCTTTAGGTTCCCCGTCACGATGCCTAACGACATGAAATACTTTAAAAATTCAAAATTCTGAAATCAGGTTGGATGTTTTATTGTTCAAAAATCAATTTTTAATATAGAAATATTAAATATTATAATATAAATTTTACTGCAAACCCTAATTAATTTCTCATCTCATTCCTCTCTCTTTATCGCTCTCCTATCTCGTTTCTCTCCCTCTATCCCTCACTTTCTATTTTTTGACGAAGACGTAGTCACCGTTGTCATTGCCACTGTGAATACGCCGCCACCACCACGCTCAACACACAACCACCGAGCAATGTCGATCTAAAGCAGTAGTCCCACTACAAAGATGATGCTATAGCTCGTTACTCCGAAGAAGCCAACACCGCCATGCAATGTTGAGACACTGCCGACCATTACAGCCGCACGAAAGGCTATCGCGCGCAAGGCCACTGGATGGCTAAAAGGTATTGCAGCAACGCAGTGGTTGAGGGTTGGTGATGTTAAATGTATTGGTTAAGTGTTGGAGATTTTAGGCTGGTTTTCTTTGGTGATGGTGTGGTGATGTTAGGGTAGTTTATTGGCGGCGAAGATGGTGTGGTTTTCATGCTACCATGGTTTTTAGCAAAGACCACGTCAATCTCAGGCCTAATTAGATTTGCTTTATGGGTGGTTTTCACGTTGCCTCGTAGTGGTGATGAGGTGTGGTGGTGCTACTCGTAATCGTGGTGGGGTGTGGTTGTAGTCACAGTAATGGTGGTGCTGTAGTTGTGGCGGCAGTCACAGCGACTGCTTAAGATGGTGTTGGATGATTGTGACCAATTATTTGGTTGATTATGACTAATAATTAGTTGATTTGTAACATGTGACCTAAAAGTTTTGACTGTGACCCACAATTAATTAAGTTGTGATCGAAAAATTAATTGTGACCAGTTAATCTAATAATTTGTAGTGAATAAATGAGTCGTGACTAATAAAAGTTTTGATTTTGTGACTAATGAATAATCTGTGACTTTATAAAAATTTTGATTTGTGACATATAATTTTTTTTATATATAACCGATAAATAAATTGCGACCAATAATTTGATAAGTTGTGATCGAAAATTAATCTGTAACCAGTTAATTCATAAATTGTGACCAATTTGCATAAAAAATTGTGACCTTTATAAATCTAATTAATAAAATATAAATCAAATAAATTAGTTTATAATTTAAAAAAAACTGATTTTTGAAATTTAAAATTTTTATTCTTAATTTTGAAATGGGTCATACTTAACTTTTTAGTTATGAAAATTTTCCATTATGAAAAAATTCATATATAAGAAATTATGTATGGCCTATTTCAAAACTAGGGAACAAGGTTTAAAACTTCAAAGATCATATGTTAATTAAATTTGAGATCACAATTTTATACTATTTTATTACAAATTATCGAATTAATTGACCAGAAATTACTTTTCGATCATAAATAAAAAAATTTATAGGTCACAAATTATTTCATTATCATAATCAACAATTCTATAAAACACAATTTATTCATCAGCCATAAATCACAAATTTTATATTTCATAACCAAATTTTTAAGTTATATATTATTTATTAATCATAAAATACCCAATTTATTAGTCACAATCTCAAATAATTTGTCACAAATTAACTAATTTATTAGTCACAAACAATCAAAATAATCGCCATTCCACCCACAACCTCTGCCATGATCACCACCACCACCATTGACCAGCACTGCCAACATAACCATTACCTCACCACCGCATCTAACATCACAACCACCACCATCCAAACACCACCAAAAAAATCAAATCCATTATCATTCATCACCAGACCACCATCGCTACCTCTAGCGCCATCACCATTTCAAACTACCACCAACCACCCAAGAAGCTTCAACACTTTTACCTAGATAGCGCAACAATAGTTGCAAAAAGGTGCTTACACAGTGCGCAACGTGGCCAAAAATCATCATCGTCCACCGCCATCGCAACACTACTACCAACAACCACAATTTACAACTACAAAACCACCACACAACAAAGTAAAATTGCAATGCAGAATGTTGCGTGTTGTCACACTTGGCCAACCTACCTGGGATAATGACCCACTCATGGCGATCCACGTGGCATTCCTGTCGAGGTGGGCTACATCCAAACTATTTCGAGCCGAAGTCCATCTGTCGAGACTCCTTTTTTGTCCGAGGCCTACGAACCGAAGCCTACGAACCGAAGCCAGGCTGCTGGAACATGTTGAGAGCAGCTGAGGCCCTCAAGTGGAAGTATCATGACAAATGGCCGAAGCCCCGAAACTGATGCGAGAGCCTCTGAACCACAAGGAAACATCCTCCATGGCCACTTCTTCCAAGAGATCGCCTGCACAGATCTTATTCGAATGATTGATGGAACGTTTGTCATAAGCATAAAGGTCAAGTCTTGTCACTAGTATGGAGGCCCTGCACAATCAATAAATGCGCCGCAAGCTAACAAGTCAAGCCCCATACCTAGGAACAGATGTTTGAACTAAAGAGATGAGGTTACGTGCCACTTCATCAAAAGGCTCCCATTTCATATGTATTACTATAAATACTTCTCTCGTGTAATATCAAAAGACTAATACAAGAATCAATACAAAGAATTACATTTACTCAACTCTCTCTCATTTTACTTGCAATAAACAAATCGATTTTAGACACATTTACATATATATATATATTTATGAACACCGGTTGGTAATTATTGTACAATGGGATTACGAACAATCCGCCGGATTCCGAACGTCACCGTCCCGTGTCGTTGGGCTACTCACACGCCATTTGAAGCGCTCGTTTTAGACCATCCACGTGTTTTAGCGTGTTGGACATTCGCCCAAGCCCGGGTGGGACCGACATTTGTTGGCGCACTTTTTGGGATCAACACAGAATTCAAAGAAAACGGTCTCCATAACGTCCTTCACGACGACAGTAACCTCTACAACGTCCATCTCTATAACCTCCCTCATGATGTCTCTCGCAAAATCCACCGCCTCCGTCTCGCGCGCTTCACGTGGCCCTGGTGTTTTGATTTGTTGAGTTGCTGCACCAGTGTTGGATCTGTAGGGTTGTCGACAATAGTAGAAGGGATAGGACAGTGGGCGACGATGAGTTTGTAGGTGGAAAAAGGGCAACGGTGGTGGATCTACGTGCAACCATACTGTATATAACTATGTCGCGTTCGTCAATTGTGCGTCGCTGCAAGAGGA